ATGTCCCAGGACCCTCCAAGTACCCTCAAATAGGGGGAGTGTGGTCCCAAATTAAGGGTATTTAGGCTAGATGGGGGTCTAGGTCTTATTGCATTACCCATAGGCTCCATTGTAGTTTCTTCTTGGGGTTACCTGATAGGATCCTAAGCCTGACCACAAAAAAAGTGGGGATTTGATCGGGTGCTTTAGAGTTACCCTAAGGGTCCATGTACCCAAGTAGAATTTTTTTGACCCCAAAGTACCCAAATCGGGACTATACTTCCGGGCCGAAACATATACCATTTGGGTACATGGATCCTGACGGGTAGTTTCTTATTACAGTAGCGACCCAAATCCTAAACCCTACTGACCATTATGGCTATTGCTGCTCATCTCAACCTGTGGTCGTTGGCTTCTTGCGAAACCTTAGTAGAGTTTAGGGCTTATGCTGTTGCCTCTTGCGGTACCATGTCCACTTGCTCGCGGGTCTGTATAGGCTCCTCACCGTCCGAGCGTATACCACAACGCAACAAGCACCTAGGCGATGGTACCTTGAGACAGGGTTCGGCTGGGTTGTAGAGCCACTCTAGAGCCCGCAGCAAGCAACCGGATAATGCCCCTAAAAAGCGACCATGGATTCTGGATGATTCTGGGCTTTAGAGCTCAGGGACGGGGGAGTTGCGGGTTTCAGACTTGAGGCTCATGGAAGGCATGGTCGGCAAAAGAGGGCTGGGGTTCGAAGCGTGTCAACAGTGATTTTGCTTAGGAGCTTTTCCTACATCCCACAAACAACCCTAAGGGTTAGGATAACTTTTAAACCCTCAACCCCAAACCCCAAACCCCCAAACCCTAAACGTTGAGGTTTCTTGCGCCCAGAACTCCAGGGCTTAAGCTCCAGGGCTTAAGGCTGTCGGACTTTGGCCTTCGTGTGGTTCCCAAAGGGTCCATCTATACTACCGCTGTGGAGTTGGGCCCCAATAAACCCACACAACCCGAAACCCTAAACCCAAGACTCACTAGGGTTTGGGTGGCTTAATTGCCGAAACCCTAAACCCTAAACAGTAGTAACATATAGTACATATGGACCCTTTATGGTGGCCTTCGAAGTTGATAAGCCGTAAAAACGCGTAGGCTGTAGAGGTTGGCGGTGTAGAACATCAGCGGGTTTAGGCTTTAGGTTGTCTGTGTTTGCACTTTCAAGTCGAGTCTCTCTGTTTTGCTCGAGACGTCGAGTTCAAGGTTCAGATTTTAACCGGGACCTTCCCGTGGCTTCAGAAGTTAATTCAATTCCGCTTTGGTCGGGGAACATCAGCAAGCCGAAGTACGAAACCAGCGTGTATACTCATTGTCAATATCACCGCCCTTCGCTGGCACTCACATCAATATCATCAAAGGTTGTTATGATGATGATGATGATGACCGTCATCATGACAGCTACAGTATCGGAAGAGTTCTTTTCTGCACGCTAGCAGCTCGCTAGCAGACTCTCCGAGAGGACGTTTAGGGCCTTTAGGGGTTAGGATGCCTACTGCCCGAGCGACCTCAAGGCGTCAGCAGCAGCTTGACGGACAGACGCATCAGAGTCGCCCAAAGCCTTCCGGAGCTCCGGCACTGCTTCTCTTGCCTCCGTACCGATGGATCCCAAGGCCCCAGCGGCACTTGTGCGGACAAGCGCAGTCGATGAGTCAACCAAAGCCTTCAAAAGTTCCGGCACTGCATCTTTTGCCTCTGTGCCGATTGCTCCCAGTGCTTCCGCAGCACCACAGCGGACAAGATATTCAGAGTCGCCCAAAGCCTTCCGGAGCTCCGGCACGGATTTCTTTGCCTCTTTGCCGATGGACACCAATGCTTTGGCAGCATATGTGCGGACAACAGAATTAGAGTCGCCCAACGCCTTCCGGAGCTCCGGCACTGCTTCCCTTGCCTCCTTGCCGATGGAGCCCAAGGCCTCAGAGGCACTTATGCGGAGATAAGGCTCAGAGTCACCCAAAGCCTTCCGGAGCTCCGGCACGGCTTCTTTCGCCTCTTCGCCCATGGACCTCAAGGCTTCAGCGGCACCGTGGCGGACATAAGCGCTAGAGTCGCCCAAAGCGTTCCGGAGCACCGGCAGCACGACCTCTTTTGCTTTCGCCTTTTTGCCCAGGGACCCCAGCGCTTCAGCGGCACCACCGCGGACAACGTATTCAGAGTCATCCAAGGCATTCCTGAGCTCTTGCACGGCTCCTTGTGCCTCTTTGCCCATGGACCCCAACACTTTAGTGGCAGCGTAGCGGACAAAAGCATTCGAGTTGCCGAAAGCCTTCCGGAGTTCTGGCAGCGCTGACTCTTTTGCTTCCTTCCCGATGGACATCAAGGCTTGAACGGCGGCTTGGCGGATGTCAGGGTGATAGTCGCCCGCCGAAGTCAAGAGCCCAGGCAGCAATGTCTCCGCTCCTTCTCGGCATGCAGTCCGCAAGTCTGTCGGAGGAAAGTGTTGTAGAGCCTCCTCACTCTGATTCAGAGAACTGCAGAGGCAGAGTTCCAGTGGGATAGACGAATCGAACATCTGCACAATGTCCGGCAGCATCGCAGGGAGCTGCTTCATGTCCTTCGACAGCTGGGGCAACCTCAAGCTTGCAATCCCGGGAATGTAGCCAGGTGGCAGTTGGTGTGCTACCCACTGAAAAACACCGAAGTCGATTTGGCCTCTGCTGAAGCAGCCCCTATAGCTTTCCAGAGTCAAGAGCTTCATGCCACAGTCCGATGCCAGGCGCTCCCCAGGCTTCAAGAACTCCGTCGCTCGGCCATCCAGCTGCTTGTACTCCGACCCTGCACTCGGCGACTCCTGGGAGACCAGGATGTCCACGCATGAGAAGGTCTTCACCCTGCGCCAATCCTCTAGGAGCCCGTTACCCTCAATCCGGTCTCTGATGATGGGCATAAGGTGGCGGCACTTGACAAGTGGATGTTCATTCAGTACGCGAAGGCCCTCCATGGGCGGATACCTCGCGAGTGCGGGGAGCTCAGCGCGAAAGAAGATGCTCTCCCGCAAAGTCCATGGTCCCCTCAAGGGCTTGTTCACCAGGAATCGCACCAGAGCATGTCCGTTTCGCCATACGACGGCATCTGAGGCAGCTTGCCAGATTGGCTCTTGCTGAGGCCACTCGCATCCTTGCAAGAGCTGTCCATCAGCGTTCTTGTTCTTGATCTTCTCCAAAATGCTGCCGAAGGGCGTCTGGATATCGTCATTTCCGCCAGCTTGCAGCCTCGGATCGCAGCGGCTACACCGGCCTCATTACATCCCAATTAACCTAGACTCTTAAGTGAGGGTGAGGCAGTGCGAGTTTATGTGATGCATGGCGGTTCCACGTATGAGCATCGTCGTTTATTCAATACATGCGTCCTAGCCGCTATTTTCATGTCCAGACCCTGATCTCTCGCAGAAATAAATGCGGTTGCTCGTATGAGGCCAGGCGACATGTAGGTGTTCAAGGATGTGCAGCACTTCTCGCGCGAAGCAGATGAGACCCCGCTCCAGAGAAGCAAGGTGGAATTCTGGTCATAGAATGCCCTCTTCGTAAAGAGTAGTCCGTGTGATGCATCTCGTCTTCCCCATCTCAGGGCCTCCATGACGTCGCGCGCCATCTCCGTGGCATTTACACCTCTGACATGCGTGATCCAATCGTATTGGCCATTCTTCAAGCCCTCCTGCACCGATTGGCAGAATCGCAACAGTTCCTCTTCGAGCATCTGCAGTTTCGTCTCACAGTCGGAGCTTCCTGAGGAGAGCTCCCCTTTTGCAGGGTTCGCTGGGGCCTCGAGGCGAAAGGCGATGCTATGAAAACCGCACATGAGCTGAAAAACAAGACTCGTCCGGAGGACACTTGCCATGGCCGCATGCAGCTGCGGTGAAAGCTCAAATGGGCAAAGGATTGGATCAAGCTACAAAGTTGCTATAAGCCGGGCTTGACAGTATACCGTAGTATACTACAGTATTCATACTCTTGACCCTAAACCTTAGATAAACCCCGAACTCTTATGCTCTGGAGTTCAACTTCACTCCTATTGGAGCTCCACTCGGTTAGGCAGAACCCGGCTGAGAAACGACGAACAGAGCCCGTGACTCCCCAAGCATCGAAACTTTCATTCCGAAGGACAAGCAATCGGCTTAGGGTTTTTAGGGTTTCGGGTTAAGGGTTAAGGGCTTGGGGTTTAGGGTTTAGGGTTTGGGGATTAGAGTTTTTGTGGCAACACGAAACACCTTGTATTTGCGTCCCCTGTTCAGAGGTACGCCTCTGCTCTCGGCGGTGGCGTGTTAACCCTACGCCCTTTAAGCATAGCATAGCACAGCATACTGCAGCATAGCATAGCATAGCGCAGCACAGCAAAGGATAGTACGGTATCGCATCGTATGGTATAGCAAAGCACAGCATAGCATAGTATCATCTAGTATATAGATGCAAGAGGCACTGCATCATTCAGATCGCATGGTGCAGGGCTGGGGCCTTGACTCACAACACGAAAAGGAAAAACGACTGCAGGTGTGAGACATGTTGGCCTGCAAGCTTTTCACATCGTGATGTGGTTCGAACCCGGAAACTAACCCTAAACCCAAACTAAACCCCATCTAGCTTCCCCAGTAGCCCCTTAATAATAAAGGGTACTCTTTGTCCTACTATTTGGTTTTTAATATGGGAACCCACACAGAAGAAGGGCAAAAAGATACCACTGGGGAACCTAGCCATTCTGATACACTGAGAGCTCTCAAGTCTGAGATGGTCCATACCATGCCTGTCTACTGGACGAAGGGATTAAAGATATTGAAAGATGCCGGCATCTGGATGGACATCTATATCTATATGTGTATATATTTATATACACAGACAGACGTAGATACATACATAGATACATACCTACATACACCCATGCATACAAACATACAAACATACATACATACATACAAACAAACATACATACATACATACATACATACATACATACATACATACATACATACATACATACATACATACATAACATACATGCATACACACATACACACATATCATAGTCACATTCGTATTCATGTACGCATACATATACCGGTACATGTACATGTACATGCATATGCACACACATACGCACCCTAAACGCTCACAGACACAGAGAGATGCATAAATAAATGAATAAATAAATAAATATAAATATATATATATATATGCGTGTGTGTGTGTGTTTGTTGTGTGTGTGTGTGCGAGCCTCGAGCCTACGCATGCAGCCGCACAGACCAGCCCGTGCACACGGTGTGCAACCGCCATTTTTTTACGACCTCTGCAGCTTTGGCAAGATGGACAGCGCACACCTGGGTCTCTACAACATGTGTGCAGATGTCGAGAGCTACTCCCGCGGTCTTGTGCAACAGCTTCTGGTTGCAGCCCTAGGCGATCCATTCCGCGCTGCATGCTTTTGGGTCGTATGTGTAATGTCGACTTGGGCTGCCTCAGCAAGATACGGTATAGGAATGTAGCAGAGAAGATTGCTTCCAATGTCACAGTCCCCCGTCAGTCGCTGGTGTCGGCTTTCAAGGTCCCTACACGCCAAAACCCAAAACCAATCCGGAAACGCACAAACAGCTTTGGTCGCCCCAGTGGCGTTCGATTAAGCCAGAAGACTTGTCGCGCTGAGAGGATCGAGGCACTAGCTTAGCAACGATCGGAAGAAGAGTCAAGTCATACAATGAAACCTTCTTTTGAACCCTTGAAGGAAACCTTTCAAACAACTACTGAAGGAACCCGGGGCACGCAGCACAACTTGCAGTTTCCGGCGCAAGCCTCCAATTACCATCCAAACAATTCATGCACATAAAGGATCATGTCTAATGCACGGGCCAAAAGAACTGCAATAGGCTTATGCCGTGTGTGTGTGTATATGTATATATATATATATGTAAACATGATAGTATGACTATAGAAGGGAAGCCAAGGGGATACGGCTTGTAGTTGTTCTGGCTTCTAGATTACACGTCTGTGTGGATGCTTTTGTAGTTACGAACCACACCTTGCGTTTCATGCGATGACAAGTGCGGCGAAGCGCTGAACACGACATTCAATTAATATCCCAATCCTAATTTCCAGCCTCACACTGAAACCCTTCCACACCCAAATCCCCAAGAAGCATCAAAAATCCTAGCATCCTAGAACAGCCATAAGGTCGACCGTCACAATGGAAGCTGTTGGCGGTAGTCCTGGCAAGCGGCAAACGGAAGACTCCAACTTGAACTTCACAGGGCTTAGATTTCAGGTTTTGAAGTTTGGGTTCGGCTTTAGGACTTATGGTTCATAACAGGGTTCGAGGTTCAGGCTTTCGGTTTTACGGCTTAAAAGGTTCAATTCTTGGTATGATGAGATGTTGCTCTGCAGCAGTGGCAGTTCTGCACCATGGATGTCTGGAGCTCGGCGCTCTGCGCATCCGGACGGTGGAAAGCCATCTCCAACATAAATCCGCAATGCGCCATCCTAGGCGGCCCGTCCACCCAAATCATCTCCTTTTCGGGTTGAGGCCTAAATCAGCACCTGCGTCTCCATTGTAGTTCTTTTTCGGTGTAACCAGGTTATAGATTTAGGATCCTATAAGGTACCCAAAAAGGGAACTACAATGGAGACTATAGGAAAGCTTCCGCAAAAGCCCAACAGCAAGCAGGGCAGGAGGCAGGCGTTTTGGGCCCAAGGGCTTCCTTCTTGGAGAAGTCTGTGGCTGGCCTCCTTAGATAAATAGAGGTTATAGAGTGCTGAGGACGAGGGCCCTGGATTCAGGGTTTCATGGTCAAGGTTTTGGAGGTGTAGGTTTCGTTCGAACTGTACAGGTTTAGGGTTTCGGGCCTTAAGTGTTGGGTCCCGAAATTTTGAGCAGGAATTTGAGCTTGGGGATTTCACGGTCCGCCAACGGTACCTCTAAAGGACCACCAAAGAAAATGCACATTTTCCCCAAGTTCCACCGGGACTAGGATTTAGGTTGGTCGGCCGGTTGGTTCAAAAACAAAAGTGTGTCATCCCTGGGCAGAGAGATGAGGGCGAGGGGAAGGAGGAGTGCTTGCACCGACAGGTGCCCCGACCCCCAGAAAGACGAAGCAACTACCGCAGCAGCGCGTATTGCCTCTGAAGGCCTCCTTTCTCCAGCACTCGGGCTTTTCATGCCTGTGCCCATGCCGGCGGCAGAATTGGCGCTCACCTTCTCATGCAGCCCTTGCAAAAGCCACTATGTCCGCGAACCGCGGGTCACTGGGCAGTACAGTAAGATCTTCAAGGTTGCTGCTTCTCGTCGGAACTTGCTGGTTTGGGGTGCTGTGCGTGCGTCGTTGCCAGGCATCGCACGAATCTTTGGAAATTTGCGCACATCATGTGGAGGGTGAGAATGGAGAAGAAGGATTTTGAAGCATGTTGAGTGTTTGGAGCATGAAAACTTGGGTGTTCGACAGTCTTGAAGTTTGAAAGCCTATAAACCCTAAACCCCGTATATAAACCCTAAACCCTGAACCAAGCTTGGAATTTGAGGGTGTGGATGGGAATGCAGCTTGAAAGTCTGCAGCCGCCCCTCCGAGGCGTGAGTTCGACAGTTCGGTTTAGGGTTTAGGGTTGGCTTGAAGGCTTGAGACGTCGAAAAAGTGAAAGGTTCGAAGGCTTAGAGCTCGATTGTTAGAAGACTTGACAGTCCCAGAGGTTGCAAGTTTGGAGCATCGAATGTGCGAAAGTTTGACTTCTTGAGCGATTGAAAGTTTGAGTCCGAGAGCCTGCAATATGTGAACTAATCGAGTGTACCGTCTCGAGTTTCTGGTTCATGTCTGGAGCTTGGGTGCGTGGGTCTAGGCTGTAGGGGTGCCGGAATTACATATGATGTAGGCTTTTGGCATGGTATACTACAACTTACAACTACACATAACCTTATGTACCAAGCAAGGAAAGGGTCGGCGTCTAAGGGCGGTATCCTACTCCCCATGACAATATAGCCGCACGAAAAGAGTCACAATTGGGCTTTGGGGCAGCATGCTGTGACTATACAGAGGTTTAAGGCATTACCATGCAATGTGATCTCTCTCTCTCTCTATATATATATATACACATTATATATGTATTGCCGCTTAGTGTCCATGTGCTCTCACATAGCATACACATAGGCCCACAAGTGACTTGATTGGAGACTCTCTGAGGCCTCTGCATATGCTATGCAGGTACATTGAAGATTACGGCTATGGCTTCCGACAGTATCGGCCTTGTGCAAGCCGAGCGCGAGCAACATGCATACACCCCACCAGATGCCGGGCGTTTGAAAGGCACCAAACTCTCCTGCATTCGAGCTTTCCTCTCGAAATCTCAAACGGTCAAACCTTCCATGTCGACACGCCCGCTTCAAAACCTCGAAAAGTTCAGGTTTCCCACCCTGCCGACTCTCGAACTTTCTGCCGTTCCAACTTTCCAAAATCTCGAAAGTTCAACAACTTTCCACACCGTCAATGTTTCGTTCCGGGCGGCGCACCACGAAGCGCACTTGGAGCCAACCGTCAGACTCGAAATTTCAAGCGTTCGCACTCTCACGTTGCGACTTCGAACTTTCAATCTGTCAGTGCCGATCGAACTCAGCCGCCACTCAAGCTGGAAATTTTGAAAGTTCGACAGTCTTCGCTTCGATTCAAAGTCTCGAACCTCCGGGCGCGAACGCCCTCGCGAACGCCCTCGCTCGGGACACCCTTCTCTGCCATGGAATGTAGGGGTTTTAAGGCAGGAGAAACAAAGGAAACAAATTCTATGACTATAATTTAGAAGACTGTACACTGTACGTAGGATTTTCAATGTAAGCTATTTTCTATAACTATAGTTTAGAAGACTGTAGACTATACC